GAATCCCCACAGGTTGAAAACAACCTTTCTCCTTGTAGCCTTGGCTTCTCCCCCCACACTTTGTCCGACCGCGACGGTGAGCCAGAACGAACCCTCGCTCCGACATCGAGAGGCCCCCTGGGCACGGATGGGAGAGCAAAGAAACATGACTACAACATGGCGCAGGGGCGAAATCACGATCCGGCAGTGTACCTACATGCAGTGGTACAGTAATACCACGGTTTCCATAGACAAAGCTCCACTGCGTGATGATGGCTGTCACTGGGGTGTGGCAGGAACACTATGTAACGGTACAATACGACGGTCACCAACACCACTTTTCTTCTTCTAGTGTAGCAGGCATTACGAGGCATGTACGGGGTATGCTAGTGTACATGATCCTGTCAGTACAAACAGCTTCTTTCATCACGGCGCTACGGAGTCTAGTACTTCATCTTGTTTCCCTGAACATATCATCTCCGCGAAACGGATTGCCTCTGAGATAGCAAGATCGGCTATACCTTATTCACGCCTGAAGGTAGGCTGAGAGGGCCAGCCAGCCCCGATTTCTAGCTCTTCACTGTGAGGCGAAAAGTGCCGCCCCATTCGTTTGTCGGATGTTTGCTGCGGAGCATTATTGGGCATTTCCTCATCAGACCCCATCCAATCCTGGCTTGCCTTCGTCTTGCTCAACGGTCTTACACCGTATAGCTTGTACCAAGTACCGCCCGCCAAGTAATGAACAGCGAGAGAAGAGCGAGTGAAGAATGAAGCGGAGGAAAGTTACTTTTGATCCTTTAACCACAGTGTTGCTGGCCCTTGAGAACTAACTGGACCAGTTCACCGCTGCTTCCAAGTGTGAAAGAGCCAATGTTGAGCTCCACGGCCGCTGGGCCTCCGAAGAGCAAAAGCCGTTGTCAGCACCCAGTTCCTCCATCTCCCCATTTGGTTGTCGCTTGCTCCAGTTCGAAGAAAGCCCGCGGCCCGGACAAGCGGGGATCCAGGGTGGGATTTTACCAGGGTTGCGTGGGAAAAAAAGTTTCCGAGTCTTCCTGGCTCGAGCAGACCCCAAGCCTTAGTGGAACCGCACCGTACGTGTAATATGTACCAGCAGAGAGAGAGAGAGAGAGAGAGAGAGAGAGAGAGGCAGACCAAGGGGGTACACGACGCGACGACCAGAATTTGGCCCCTGAAGGTATATCTCCGAGAAACGCGACACATCTCGGGCTCCCGTCTGGGAATTGGCAAGTTAAAGCCGAACGACTCTCGAGGGAAAAGGGAGCTCTTGGCTCGATTGGGAGGATTGAGCCTGTTTGCACGAACGAACTATCGGGTGCTGACGCTCGAGAGGCTCAAATATTGCCTACTTCACAGCCCAAGGGCCAAATAAGGGGGCGAGATATCGATGCTGTGTATCACGAGCTCAATCCCCCTTAGGTTGCGTGCGTCTTCACGCTGTGCTAGTCCGCCAGCCCCTTTACTTTTGCAGATTGCATCTTACTGACGGTTCGATGCCGTGTCTGCAGCTTGCTCGTCGGCAGCAGGAGAGGTGCAGGACACTCACGCATCTACTCCGAGAATAGTATCCTCAATCCTCCGTTAATCCAAACTACGAAGTCAAGAAAGCGCCTAGCCACGCGCCCCGAAGGAGGTGAGGCCATTATGAACGAGTCTTCGGCTCCTTCCATCGACGTTTCTTCGTACAGGTAGATAGTCTTGTACATTGACATTGACTCATGATGCCGGCACGGTATACATCATGGCGGGTGTAAACTTGCTCGGCTCGAATCATGAGTCGACCCTCGAGTAGTTTGCACCACATTACGCAGCTGGCTGCAAGTCGTCAGGTTCGGGAGAGTCGATGTCCTCTATATCTCGAAACCGTAGACTAGGATATGATGTCTCAATGACACCCTGGAGATATGACATTAGCACCACAACGGTGGGTGGATGAAGGACACGCCCCCCTTTCGCCCTCCGTTCCAACCCCTTCTCGCTCGTTAGACTTTCCGATGTCCGATGGCTTCCTCCTCCAGGGACGCCCCTCACCTATGTCCCCCCTTCTTGCCTCTTTCAGGCCCTGGCTCCTTCATACAAACACCCCTTGTTTACTATTGCGTTTCGTCGTCGTATATTACACCGAAGCAAGAGTGGCTCCTCTTGAGAAATTACAGTTTTGGGCCCCCCTGCCTCCTTGGGGCGAGACATTCTCAACGGCTTTTTCTTAAATTTTTTTTTCCGACAAGGAATCGGATAGGTTTTTGCAGAAGAAACCGTCGTTTTTGTTTGATTTGTTTCCTCCCATCCTTGGTATTTCGATCTTCCTGCTCCCGTCCCCGGGGGGGCGCCGTCGATCGATTTTGGTGGTATGAAGGGTTGCTACAGTACCTTTGTGTAGCGTGTTCATGTTTCCTTGGGGGGGGTGTGTGTGTGGTGTGTTGTCTTAACAGGCCTTTTTGGGAACATTTTGCGATTTTGGGTTCTAACGGCGTACGAACGGCTTGAGTTGAGTACCGAACTTCCCTGTAATGGAGAGGGAGGTTTGTCCTTCCCCCCCTTCTTTGCCGGATGGCATGGGGAGTGGTATCCAAGGGGATAGGAGGTCGAGAGATGGTGTCGGAGTGTGGGGGAGTGAAGATTGGACAGCCAGGCATGGTTAAGGTGGCGAGAGGAGGGGCGCATTGGCTTGTGAGTGGGCCTTTCGTTGTGAAGAGAGGGGCGGCGGAGGGGAAACCGGCGAGATATGCGAAGGATAGAGTCTTGTCTCCTTTTTTTTTCCACGATTTTTTTACCAAGGGGAGAGAGAGTTGCGAAGTAGCTCGAGCAGAAGGGGCGGGAGGTCTTGCTGAAGGGAGTGTGCGTGGATACAGACCTGCTTGGTACAGTCGAGGAGAGTGAATCAATGACACATGTCCTTGACACGGTTTGAACGTACGTCGGGCGTAGCGAAGGCGTGAGATGGAGATACATTCGTACCTATGCGTGCGCATGGCTAGATCATGCAGACATGCTCAAGGTTCTTACTGTGCCATCTCATTAATCGCATCCATCGCCCTGCGGAGAAGAGCAATGTTACGGCAGATCTGATGAGGACGATGCTATCGTCGCTACAAGTGCCGTCGTCGGTTCTGACTGTCAATAGTCATATCATAAGAGTAGCCATGATGGCGAAAGGCGATCCTATTCCATAGTTACATGTCTCAGCGGGAAACTGTCGGCCCTCCAAGAACTGCCCTATTCAGTTATGACGGTGATAGCTCTTCCTATGGGGAGTTGTACCGATCGTGAAAAATGTCGTGCTCGTGGCAAGCAACAGCAAGAACAGGTTTTCCGATCAGGCGAGAGCAGGTTTCCTCGGTAGTTTTCTCCAGTGTATAGTTTCTCACGCTCTTTGTACGAAGTACTGCCTACTTGCCTAGAAAAGATTGATATCAAGGGAGTTCCCTCAAACCCCCTTCCTCATCTCTCGAACTCCACAACGTTTTAGCCCAATCGCTCCTCCCCCCCTTCCGCCTCACCTTGTCGAGACCGCGGCAGAAACGTTCTTCCATCGTACCATCTTAGACTTTCCTCCCGGCTCTTAGACCGAATTGGGAGGTTCGGGGCTACTCAGGTAGGTAGTATCCTCGGAGGAGAAAGAGGAAGGATAAGGTTGCTACACGAGCCAAGACGACTCCACAGCTCCCAACCTTGACGGAGAATATTCTTGGAGGAGACGTACTCCGTACTGAGGAACTTCTCTTCGGGCTTGCCACCCGAGATGAGAGGATGATTAGAGTGTAATATGACTTCGAACTTAATGATAGAGAGAGAAGAAGAGAGGGAAGCGAATCAAGTATTTTTCTTGCTCGATATAGAGGACTCTTGGATCAAAAGGTCTGATATCCGTTAGCACCTGATCCTCTCTAACTTACCTACCACTTTCCGAAGACCCTCGGCCTCATAGAACTGAACTCTTTCCATCTAACCCTCCAGTGCTTCCTCTCTTCACGTTTCTTTTCGTTACTGTGACGACGTGTGTATCATCGGAGATGAAGGGGGAGAAGACACTGTTCAGAAGACGAACGGTCGCGGTACTAGATATTCTCTCTCTCTCTCTCTCTCTCTCTCTCTCTCTCTATCTATCTATCGCCTTTGATGTGACTTTCCTTGCGTGATTTCCAAGGTTAACCTTCTGCCGCCGTGATAGTGGTACACAAATCCAGCAAAGTATCATTCTTCGCGGACATCCCATACAAACCATATACCTCGGTACTAGGAACATGAAATTGGAGAAATCGAGGCAGTAGGCAGGGCAGAACCAAGACCACAAGGGGGAGAACCTCCGGACCTAAATGAATCGATCGGAACTGTCATAAAACAACAAAAACATCACCGAGCACTGGAAAGGACAAGAGGAACCTTTTGGGAATTAGCAGAGAATAATAGTATGTATTATTTGGCGAGTGCCGTGTCCCAGTTCTCGACATTGCTGCTATCTGACAAGTCTGTCATTATTATTATTATTCTCTTCTATTATTTCTGCCCTTGCCAATAGCACCTCAACGGATAGGGAAGGGGGGAGACATCGTAATTTGAATACCCCTAGAGTTTTTCTTTCATGTATTATTTCGAATACTTCGTACACAGCCCCTATTCGCCCCAAACTCGGAGGAAAGTCGCGCATACTTTTCGTCTTCTACCTCCTTTCTTTCACCTCTTCGTAGGAGGCTGTATACGAGACTAGATAACGCGGCTATGCTCCGAATATGCGCCTACGAGGTCGCATATACCTCCATCTCGTGTTAGTATGCTCGTAATGAATCTAGCCGAGGTGGGAAGAATTATGAAGCCGTTGCTTTCGTAGAGAAACCAAGCAGCCTTGGTCTAGAGAAGAAGAAGTGGGCAACAAAAAAAGATGCGCTCATGATGTTGTTCCATGTCTCATTCATTATCCATTCCCTTTGAGTCATGAATCCAGTCCGTCCCAAGTCGACAAAAATCGCAGCGTATTCCTCAGCCTCCGCCCTCCGAGCAGCTCCCTAGAAAGGCGCCATTTCGTCGTCCGATCCCGAATCCTCCTGGTCGATGAGAGCCAGCTCGACGAAGCGCCTAACCCATTGAAGCTGCTCCTCGTTAAGTTCCTGAGGGATGTTTCCATCATGCTCGACAACCTCTAGCATCGGGGCCAGGGGCGGGAGCTGAAGACCATCGCCTCGTGGTCCTTGGCCCTGGCCCTGACCCCGGCCTTGACCTTGCTGTCGTCTCTGGGGCTGACGGTTATTAGGGTTCTGATTCCGAGGCGCATCTCGTCTATTTTGCCCCAAGTCGTCTCGGGCGGGTCCTCCTCGACCTCCTGCTGCTGCTCCCGCTCCTTCTCCTACTCCGGGACCACCTCCCCCAGCGGCAGCGCCTCCTCGACCTCCCCTACCACGACCGCGTCCGCCCTCTCCACCGCCCCTTCGTCGACGTGGAGGTCTACGACCGCGTCCTCGCTCTCCCTCGAAGTTCCCCGGTGGCGCTGGCACAGGAGGAGGGATGGCGCGCAGCCCTCGACCGGCAGCGGGCTGCTCAGGTCCTTGCTCGATACGTAAAACCAAGGGGCCCTCACGAGCAACTTGGACGTTGGGGGGAGGACGCCTGGGGCCACCGGCTTCCCAATCCCACTCCACATCGGCGACCTCGTCGGCATTGTTGACCTCGAGCGGCGCATCGAGGTCATCATCCGGTTCCTCGATCTCCGGTCGAGCGATTATAAATTGGAAGGGAGGTTCGTCGGGCCTTTCGAGATGCTGCTGCGGGGGCTCCCTACGTTCCCTACGCTGTCGAATATGCGGGTGGAAATCATTGTTCTCGCCGTGGCCGGTCTCGTAATCCCACAGTCGCTGGAAGCAGTCCTTGAGCCCGGGGTTGTTGAAGTGACTATACGGGTTCTGAGGATCGAGCCAGGCGGAGCACAGATAGCAAAAGTGAGTGTTGCACCGGAAGCATATCATGTGGTTGCAGCCCTCGGTCTTTTGCGCGGGCGCGTCGCAGGTAGCACACGGCCTCGTCCACTTCTCGATGTATTCGAGAGAGGCCTTTTCCTCCTCGGACATTTCGTCGGGGTTACACTTGAGGCGGCAGCGGAAGAACTCGCCGTGCCAAGATTGATAGCAGCGAGAGCAAAAGGCGAAGCCGCAGTCCTCGCAGATGCAGAGAAGATCCTCGGTCTTGAGGCGAACGTTGTTTCCCGATGCTTGAACCCCATCGTCGCCGGCAGTGTTGGTCTCGTTGGTCGCGTCGAATGCCTCCTCGTTGTCATCGGGTTCGCCGAACTCAAGACCGCGGGGCTTCTTGTGTCTCTTAGACTTCGCGGCCCCGTTGCACCATTTCCGGGGGCAGTAGACGGTGGTCTTGTCCGACTCTAGCTCCTTTTTGTACTTGAGTGAAACGTAGCGTGAGACGAGATCCTGATCCAGTCCGATAGCCAGGAGTTCGCCGGGGCTAAGGTGAATCCTGGGCTTCCGGCCCTTCTTCGAGGGGTCTTTCGCGTGGGCTTCCTCCCTCTCCTTTGCGCAGCCGGGGCTAAGGCACTTTACGACAACCAAGTCACCCTGGACAATAGCGTTGGTGTAATAGTCTCTCAAGCAGGATAGACAAAAGACGTGACCGCAGTCATTCATCTTGTGGCAGGAGTGGCCCTTTTTGGGGTCTATAACTAGATTAGTTCTGGGGGTGGAAGAGGAAAAGAAGAAAACAGGAAAAAAAAAAAAAAAAAAAAAAAAAAAAAAAAGGAAAGACAAAGAAAAAGAAAAGGCTAGAGGTCCAAAGAAGATAGATACACATACCCAAACAGACTCCGCAGTCAAAAGATTCGTTCTCGAAAGCTGCCCTGCACGCTTGAATATCATAGTCGAGGATGGACACCATGTGAGCCCGGTCAATCTCAAGAACTCCTGATGAGTTGACCATGCCAAACACATTGTCAGCGGCTTGCTGGACATGATCGATGTAAGTGAACGCGATCATATCGCGGCCCATCTCATCCCACAGTCTCTCGGCATCGCTCTCCAGAGTGCCGAGGACATCCGGCGTGAGCCATGGCGGCGATGTCGTCAGGGTCACCTTGGGCGGCTTCTCGGCAGGGTAGCCATTGGGTAAGGACATGTGGATGGAGACGGCGGGAAGATAGGAGAGCTGATGAGACGCATGATTCTGGGGCGGTGGTGGGGTATTCGCCAATCCACCATCCGCCGTGACCGTGGGGTCCGGGGCCGTAGCCGTTGAAGCGACGACAGGAAAGACGACGTTGACGGGATTCGCGGGGTTTACGGGGACTTCGAGGGTGAATGTGAAGTCGCCTGGGTCGGCGGATCTCCGGATTTCTGGGAAGATGGCCTCGAGAGAGCCTAACTCGTCGAGACGAGGATCTTCATTTGCGTCATCCATGACTTTGCTTTTGGCCTGGTGAGAGTAAAGCCGGTGCTACCTCATACTTGAGCTGAGTGTGTGGGGTGACGGATATGATGTGAAGTGGAAAAGAAGGATGGTGGAGTGAAGGGGGGGCTGGATCTATTTTCTTCTGGGTATCACCGATGGTTCCTGAAGAAGAAGAAGAAGAAGGAAAGAGAAGAATGGGAGAAGGCAGGGATGGAACCAAGAGGAAGGAGTGGAAAAGTCACCAAGAATCTAGGCTTGGGCTGATCTGGAGATGTGAGAACACAGTGGAGTCGTAGGGCAGGGCGTAAGGCTTAGGGCGGTGGTGGCAATATAAAATATTGATATTTTGATATTGATGATGGTGGTGACAGTGACAACTGGACTTTGACGTGATGTGCGATTTTGTAAGCCGGAGCAGCCTAAGTTGATTTGATCCCTTGATGAGTCAATTGGCCGTGGTGACACTGGTGAGCATGAGGTGCCAGCGAGGTGCCAGCAACGGGGATTAGCACGGATTAGCACGGAGATAGGAACAGAAGATGGGGGGACTTTAGATATAGCTCAGCAGTGTAGGATTGTAGGATTGCAAGACTTGAAAGAGTATTTGGAGTATGGGGCACAAAAGAAAGGAAATCCTTAGCCCTAGACTAAGTGTTCTTGGTGAAGGTGCGAAGATGAGTGGGATGGCGAGTCTTCCTCTGCCTTGAAGTAAAGCCCAAAACCAGGGTTAGGCTACAATTGTCTTGTGTCTTAGTCTGAACTCGGCAGCACCAGTGGTGGCTATTCTGGATGGACCCTAGAAATTGCTTAGTGCTCCAGCACCAGAACACAGTTGCAGGCGTGATCAACTTGATCCCTTCAAGGCAAAAGCGGGAACAAAAACGCAAAACGCGGGGGGGGCGAAGAAATCCAAAAGAGGCAGAGGCTGAGCGGGTGTGTCGAGGTAGAGGTACCTTCCTCTCCTCTCTATTTGGCGGAGAGAAGAGGTATAGCCTGTCTTTCTGGATTGGGACGATGGATAAGATGGCGAGATGCTGTGCGAAGTACTCACCTGCAATAGTTTGGCAGCAGAGGAGAATATAGGATCAATCAAAGAGACAACTTTGAACCCTCTCTTGCTGCCTCTAGTCAACAGAACTAGATGAACTTATCTAGGGACGTGACTTTGATATTCAGACTGGCACTCGATAATCTTAGTCATCACAGAATGTTCTTTGGAAGCGTTTGATCGATGCGTCTCAAGAATCAGCATCACCCTACGAAGTACATTTCACCAATAATAGAAGACTCTACGAAGTGCAGGCAACAATGCTTTGGAAGAGCTGATCCAGGCATCCAGGGTCCAATATCTTATTGAAGTGTATTCGGTGCATTGGCGGGTCCGCTCCTGCCCTGTGCAGCGCCAAAGGCCCCGGTTCTGTTCTCTCTTCGTGAGGGCCCCCTTATGAAGTAGTAGACATGTGTCTCGAACTTGGAGGAAACTTGCATGGATCTCACATTCTCATGCAAACCTCTTTCTGAGTAATGCAGATGTTAATGGGACCCATGTCAATGTGGAGTGAATAGCCGAACGCCACAGGACGCAGGACGTTTTCCGTTCATCAAGACCAAGTCTCGGCTTCATGCTTGCAAAGAAAGAACCCTCGCTAGAAACAAAAATCCAATTATCCAATATTGCATTGCATTGCATCTACGGCAACTCACATGCCCCTTGAGCAACCCGCGCCTTCCATGTCTAGAAACTCTGACATCACCGCTTTCCCCATCGTTTCCTACAACAGACAACATGCAACGTACAACCAACATGCAGCACTACGACATATTCCGGCTCCCTTGACCGCCCCTCTTTGTCTTTCCCTGCCTCTCGAATTCTTTTATCACACCGGAGCCGGAACAAACATTTTCTACTGCTCAATTGACGTTTTTTTTTTCTTCATCTCCCCTGCTCTCGACACGTCGCCAGTCCTGCCATCCCCGAAATATATGTCCAGGCCAGTCCGAACTACTCACCTCCTCAACATTAGACGAAAGCAACGAATCAGAGAAAGGGCACTTCGTTCTCAAGAAACAATGATACCCTGAACCGAACCTACACTCCCAACCCGAAAAGAAAAATAAAACAACTCCTCCAAAATGTCCGAAGACACAAGCCCCCTCGCCTCCCTCTCCCTCACCCACGTCTACTATGTAAGTCCCCTCTATCCCTCCCTCTCCGCTCCCCCCGCCAAAAAAAACCACCAAGACGAAGAGAAGAGACTAACAAGCCAACTTCTACAGGACCCAACAGACCCCCTCTCCCACCTCTGCGCCTGGCTCGCTCTCCTCCCCCAAGCCCTCTGCATAGTCTACGTCACCCTCTCCCTCTCCACCCGCGAAGCCGAAGTCCTCCTCACCTTCGCCGGCCAACTCGCCTGCGAAGCCGCCAACTTTCTCCTCAAGCGCCTCATCAAAGAAGCCCGCCCCGCCCGCATCCCCGGAAAAGGTTATGGCATGCCCTCCTCCCACGCGCAGTTCGTCGCCTTTTGGTCCGTCTCCGTCGCGCTTTTCCTCCTCGTGCGATACCAGCCCGTGCCTAGTCCCTCTAGCGCTTCGCATCGCAGGGGTGTTTGGCCTTTCGTCCCGCGCTTGGTCGTCTCTGTCGTGGCGCTCGTTACGGCGATCGCCGTTGCCGCGAGTCGGGTTTATTTGAGCTATCATACCCCGAAGCAAGTATGTGTGGGTTTCGCTGCCGGCGTGGTTTGCGCGGCGGGTTGGTTTGCCATCACGGCTGCGCTGAGGGCTTGGGGCATTTTGGACATGCTTTTGAAGTTGGAGGTTGCGAGGGTGTTTCTTTTGAGGGATTTGGTCGTCGAGGAGGATCCTTGTTGGGCGGGGTGGGAGAGGTGGGAGGGTTTGGTGAGGGGGAGGGAGAAGGCGCGTGGGAAGGGAAAGAAGAGGAATTGAGGTTTCAACCCCTCCCCCGCCCTCTCCGTTTTAATCCATTTTCTTCTTTTTTTCCCCTTGTTTCTGGCCTTTTGTTTTGTTGCATCGAGAAAGCATTTGGGTATCATGGCATGATTCCAGCGCGAGGAGCTTACATGGAGAATGGAAGTCAGGCGGAGGAGCGAGCCGAGGTATGGGAAACGTAGATGGAACCTGCATGGGACCATGGCTTCATTATGAGCATTTTCTTTTTTTTTTTTTTTTTTTTTTTTTTTTCCCTCTGTATAACAGCAAGCACAAACATCTGTATCATAACCAAGCCCAAAGCTTTAGATCGCTCGTCCTTTACAGGATACATCATTATGAAATGCGTGTGTTCGGTTTCATAATCTCACGTCTCGGATCCAGCCTACTTGTCGCTTAAGCATATTAAATCTCTCATGTTTATCAATGGAAAAAAAAAGGTGTGTTTCCCAAAAGAAAACGAAGTAATCGTTTGTATTCCAAGTTTCTTTTCCTAGCTAGCATCGACATGATAAAAGAGCCCCCCTTGCCTCTTCTACACAATAGAAGGTGGTTGTGGCATACCAACCAAAGGGCATCTCGATAGTGAACCACAATATGACAAAAGAAACTCCCGTGGGGCTCGAGCCCCGAAAAAAGAAAATCCCATCCGTAAATGAAAGACACGCAGGGGATTTGTAAAAAGAAAAGGAAATAGAGGGGGGCAAAAGGAGAGGCTATATGTTTGTAGTAGTCGTGAAGGGGTGGTGTAAGACCGAACAGGGATGGGATGGGAATGGAAGTGAAAAAAGGAGAAAAAATGAAAAGACAAGAAAAAGTCCGAAAAGAGATGGTTGTCGGGATTTGCTCCCCAAAAACTCCTGTTTCCTGGCTGCGCCGTCCAACTCTTCTCCATTCGGACTTTTTCATCGTTTGCGATGATGGCTCGTTCCTCTTTAACAATGTCGGAAACGCCGAAAATCGTGTCTGCGGTGAGCGCATACGATAAAGCAAGAAAGAAAAGAGGAAAAGGAGAAACAAGACATAAAGCAAAGTCTATGTGACCTCTGCCGCCCCAGGTTATAGTAGTAGTAGAAGTAAGGAAAAAAAAAAAAAAAAACACAAGAGATATCCGATAACACCATGTAAATGCCAAAACCGAGTAGGTATAGAATGTTCTTTTGCAGATCGTAGTCCTCTCCTCTTCTTCATATGCTCCACTCGACATCAGTCAAGCCTAAGAAGGAGAGACAGACAGAGAGTTCAAAACAGAAACAACTCCAACACGCGCCTTTTATACAGGTTATGCCGGCCGTCAACCTAAATCAAAATTATCGTACCCGGTACACTCAATCATACTTCGTAAACCCCGGCCGTTCAGATCCAGTCCGCCTTTTTCACCTCGGACTGGTCTCGGAGTACAGAAGATGAAGGAGGTGATTGACGCGGGCTCAGTTGAGTCCGGGGTGGGGGAATCGTAAAACCAACACCCCTAGGACTCGTCACCTTTGTCTTCTTGGGACTCTCGGGCGGTTTGTAGACAGCGGGGCTAAGGGTGCAGTCCTCCTCCCTCTCTCCTGATGATTTCCTGTTGTAGTCGCCTGCGATGCTCGCGTCGTCTGCATACATTGTGACGCTGTCATCGTCACGTTCGTTCGTGGTTTGGAAGTGCATCGCCACGTTACTCAGAGGGCTCGGCCTTTGCTGCGCATCAGCACCCCTCGCCAAGGGGCACTCTAAGTTGTGCACCTTGTGGGTGTCATTGAAGTACTTGGAATTTAGAGGCGGCATGTCATCAACGTTGGACAGCCGAAGACCGATTTGCACCGTAGCATGGGATGCCAGGGACGAATCTCGGCGGTGGCGGAATCCGTGGATGGGCGCTGGAGGTTTGAGCGTACCCACGTCCACCATCACCTCCTTAGCAGACGGGTCATAGGTAGTGGCAGGGAGAAGCGTTGGGGGTTTTAGAGTGCTGTTGTTGTTGGGGAATAGAGAGTACGAGTTCTTGGGAGCGTGCGTCTGGTGGGGCTGCGTTGCCCGCAGCGCCGTCGCCGTCGCCGTAGGGAAGACGGCATGAGACCTCAAGGGGTTCACCCTGTCGTCCCAAATATCCTTCTTCTCCTCATCTGAATCATAGCCGCCCCGACCTTCTGAGCTTGTAAAGGAGTCGTCGGTATTCATTCGTCGAAGACTCGTCGGGACGTTAGTAGATTGCCCAGATGCCTCGGCATCTCGCGAGGGCCACATTCGAATTCTCTGCTTGAAACTCTGCCTTCGCTCTTCCTGGTATTTCCCGTCCTTATCGCGCGGGCCGATGGTAGATACTGAAGTCGATCGCAAAAACAGATGTAGGCCACCAGTCATGAGGCCCGACACATTTGCAACCACAGACGCAACCATGGAGAGCTGGAGTGGCGCATTGACGTCTCGGTTTCGCTGGTTTTGGAAGGCAAGGGAAAAGAAGAAGGGAATAATCAAGACCTGAAGAGAATTTGTTAGAGAAGTGTTTAGAGCACAGGACAGATGGTAATGAAATAAACACAAAACTCACAGTCGAAAGGAAAGCCACCGCAAGATAGTACACCATCCTCGAGGAGGCAGTCCGCTCCGTCGGGTCGATTGCTGCATTCCTGTGCAGCTTCATGAAGATGATACCCGTAGCTGCCAAGACACCCACGCTGATAATCGTGAGAACGACAAAGCAGCCCATCGAGTACCTCTGAACAAACCAAAAGAGAGAGGCAAAGCAGAAGTTTGGGGGTCGGATAAAGTGCGTCACGAGATAGGTGACGAGTAATAAGGTGCCCACAATGGTAAGACAGATAACCACGCTCCATCTCGTCCTTGGTGGGAATGGGTTCTTTCGCCTGAGGGCTCGGATCGCTACTTCGACGCCGAAAATGAGTTGAATATAAGGCACGATGAACACGGCTATGGTGCGTAGCCCTCCAGTTAGTCCAGTTTGATCCCGAGAACCGATGGCTGCAAAAATTCCTTGTCACATACCTGGCAACATCATTTGAGAAACGATGGTGCATCCCAAAACCTGGGAGCCCTTTAGACCAGTCGATTGCGCAACAGCAAACACTATGCCTTGAATGACTATTCCGCAAGACAAGACAAAGGGAAAGGTCTCCGCTGAACCTATGCAGTTGAAGGCCGAAGTCCTATCAAGAGAAGAAGAAAAAGAAATGTTAGCACCTCCCTTTATGTTTTTCATAATTCGATTCTCTTTCTCTCTCCCACTGCCTCCGCCGTTCAAAGCCTCTTGCGTCCTAACACCCAGCTCCGCTCCGCGACCCATTGGCCGGCGTCTCTGCAGCTCGGGGCCCTTTCCCATCCGGCGAGTAATGAAGCGCAGGATCCGGAGTACTATACCTAAACTTGTACTTGGGGTTATTTCGCTTCGCCGTTGCGTAGCCATCCCATAATATCCCTAGAGCAGTGGCGAACGCCGCCACTACATTGAAGACTGAAAGGATGATAGTCGAAGTTCGTATCGACTTCGCAGCTTGGAATCTGAATTGTGAAATGAGGTTGTTCGTCGAGTTCCGTCCGCCGCCCCTAAACGTTCCATTTCTGTTGTTGTTATTGTTGTTGTTCCCATCGTCGTTGTCGTTGTCGTTGTTGCCACCGACTCCTCCAAATTGCCTCGCCCACAACTCATCCGACCGGGGTTCTATCCAGCCCCAGCTAGAATCCATCTTGTGCGTGTTGCGGTCGAGCCGACCTCAGGCGCCGGCCTGATTCTAAGGCGAGGAGGTGGTGGAATGGAGGCAAAGTTGAGGCCTCGTGAGCCGTCGCAGCCAACTGATCACTCCGTCGTCCAGACCATCTATACGATGGGATATCGTCGTCGACTATAACGAATGTTTCGTATCGTGGACGGGGGTTGAAGGGTGAAATCGATGTTGAGGTTGGGTTGAAAGAGAGGAGGAAAGGGGGAGGAAGGAGTGGAGAGCGGACGAGTGGGATGGTAAGAGGGAGAGGAACGTGGTCTCGGGCTGGGCAGGGGTAGAGATGGGGAAAGAGTGTGGGCCCTAGCTAGACGAGAATCTTTGGTTCGGCTCAGATGGAAGGGAAGGGCCACGGCGTAGGAGCAGCATGTACCTGGAGAGATGGACCGGACGAAACAGATCTTGTGCTGTATTGGACCAATGTCTCGGACGGGCGAGGAAGAGAGGGAGAGAGACAGTGAGAGGATAGAAGAGACGGCACCAAACGGCCCAAGACGTGGAGAGGACCGAAGTGTCGAGTACTTGCCTTCCCGTAGGGGCAATCGCATAAAGTGAGCAGCCAAAGTAACCAGATTGAGAGATGGGAGAGCCAGGTTTGGCCGGGGTTATCGGGAGGGTTGTAAGACGGCCGGCTCAGATCATAACCGAAGGGAGGTATGATGGGGACGGACAAGGGGTTAAACGAGAGCATACACTGTCGAAAGGTCGAAACGGGGCATGTAATTGTGCGTGTGTGGCAAAGCCAAGCATGGATGTTGGCAGATCCGCGTGTGAATGGCAGACTGGTGATGCTGGAGAAGCAGGGTGTATGCTTGTTTCTGATGGATTTGGATTAAGAATGAAGTCCTCGAGGCAGCCAACGGCAATATCGGCCAAGATCTGAAGTTTAATACAAGGGTTGGGAAGAAGCAAGGGAGTCCACAGCAATACGCAAAGCGAAGAGGACATGACGGAGAAGAGAAATGTCTAAGTGAAATACAATAACTCATTCAAGCAAAGACGGCCAACTACCGTCACCTTGGGGTTTGTCTCGTCGAGCAGCTGTGCAAGTTTGGCTGCACCGCCCCGCCTACGAGGAGCACGCCCTGTAATGTGCAACATGGCCGCAGCAAAGCTTCCTTGGAGAAGAGCCATATACGGCTAAATGTCAACGCTCACTAGAACGGCTGGAAGACGAAGAACAGAGCACTGTGAGGACCTGGATGGTGCAAGCGATGGCACTGTGGTCGTCGCGGCGATCGCGCACAGCAGGCTCCTGCAACTGAAGGGCGACGCCGCGTGAACAGTGCCTCATCAGGAGGAGGCACCATTTTCCCCGCTGCTTTTTGGGGGTTTGAGGCAGTCTTGTAACACATCCAGGTTTCGGCTCCCCTGTCTGTGGCCCCCCTGAAGGCAGGGTTCCACGGCTGGGCTGGGACCTGCGGGTTTTTAGCCTCAAGGGTTAAGGTGGTAATGCTGGCTCGCGAGGGGACTCGGCCGGGAGATCAAACACGCAGGACGAGGAACAGGGAAGAAGGCCAGGCTCCAGTGCAGGGAGTGCAGGGGTTGATTAAGAAGATAAGATGTGAGACATTCCAAATCGAGATCTAAAATACACTGTGCGGCGATACCAATTCTGTCTCACTTATTATCGTTATATAAAAAGTACTAACAGTTCTTAGCACTGTAATATCTTCACACGGCAAGTGCTGTCTGGACTTGGCAGGGTTCCGAGTCTGAGGAAATGGTCTGTGCGGACCTTCCCCACATTCTAAACCGACGTCAATTGTTGGATAGCTTCATTGTTCTTGCCTGTTTCTCTCTAAGTGGGGGATAAGCATATCCACCATATCCACCACACCTTCCTCGCACCACCACAGAACCTGCCCATTGTGGATTTTCTGATATCACAGGAACGATGTCTGTCTCGAGTTTCGAAATCAGAAGACGAGAAACCGCCCCGATACAATCATCCGGATCCTGGACCCGTGCATCTGTTTGCACGTGTGCTTCGTCCACTACACGCATACGTCGATATGGGTATTCAAACAAGAACATTCGAATTCAATGTCGTCACCCCATGGGCCATGGGCCCATAGCTCCTTCTCCTACTTCGTACTCCTTCTCCTCTAATTCGAATCCAAAGACGGGAAGGTGATAGCCACGGACTTGGGCGACATTGGAGGCAGGAAACACTCCGTAATCATGATACAGCAGGCCCAAGCAATTTGAAGCCTCCAAGCCTCCAACTGCATCCCATCATCTCAAGCTTCCCATGTCGTCCACCATCAACCGGAGGGGCTCACTGTGGCAATCCAATTCCCCTTTCATCTCATCATGTCTGTCTCGCAGTCAATTGTATGCCGCCGACTCCTTTTTAAGCAGGGTTCTGCCCTTGTAAAATAAATCGAGGCGTTGATTGCCCTCCCAGCTTATTAGACTGAATCCCCCTCCCTGGTCGCATTCGAGAGGGTTGTTTCCATCTTTAGACTAATTGCCTCAAGCCTACCCGAGCACATTTGTTAATCTTGTCCATATAGGCAATCGACATGCTTCGTAGGGAGCATTCGAAGGTGAGTCTTCCATGTACGGATCAGCATCTTGGGCGGGATTGGCGTACTATGATACACATTATGCCTCAGGTCGTCCAGTCCATCCGTCGGCGTGGGTAAATTTAACCTTTTTTGCTGTATTCTCTCTTCCCTCTTTCCCTGCAGACATCAAGAAATTCTGGAACGTTGGAAACAATTGCCTCACCCGCAATCACGCTATCCGTTCCGACGTGTGGTTCGCTCATCGATATCAGCGGTTGAGCTATCATACACATATTCTTCAATCCCGCGATTCCTGCATATCGACGGCCGCGCCGTCTCTTCCGTTCTGAGACAGAGATGCCCTTCGAAAATTGATTATTCTTCCACTTCCAAGGAACAGAACTCGGAGGAAAGTGTACTGTTACCATGGTTCTATTGCTATTTAACTTTCCAAAGTAGCATAACCTCCGAGTCAGTCCAAAGGAGGTTTAGACGGGCGAGAGACTCGCGGGGAATGTTTCCTGGTTCACTCTCTTGAAGTCGCCAGTTATCGTAAATTAAAAGCTGCGGGAATATAAATGAATCGCGAACTGCACATATTATCCTCAGGTGCCCCCGTCAACTTGTCCATCTAGCTGCGACAACCCTATAGATATTGGACCCCAAGATACCCGCCAGCTGGGAACAAATAGAAACGACGGGTAATATCACGTATGCGGCCTACTTGCAATACACGGTCCACAGAATCTGGGCGTCCAGTTGCATAAGGAGTGGTAAAAAACGGCGGCGACTCCGTTCTCTCACCTCGCCTGTGTGGGTTTGCGGTGTTAGTGGGACCATGGATCGTACCGTTCTAGCCGTGAACTGGCATGTTTTTGTAGCCTCGTCTAGACGCTTGCCGTTTGCCTTGACCTCTTTTCTCTATTTGTGGGGAGGTTCTTTAAAGATTGGGTTGTGATGTGATGGATGATCTGCAATCCGAGATTGACTTTCCTATGTGTAGAAGTCTCCCCCATTTTCCGCCGCGTTGCTCTTGGTGGGCTCGTCTTGGACAATGCCTAGGAGATCTGAAATACGATTTGACCTCTAATTTTCATTGCCAATTGGGTGCTAGATTTTGTTGTTGAATCCGGTAATTCGAACATTTTTGATGTTGACTTACACGGCCTGAAGATTCCAATCGCCTCGATTCCATGAAGGACATGGGAGACTCGCCGAGGAAAGAGGAAAATGGCAAGCCAACTCATTGCGGGCTACGAAGTATATTATCTCCCAATTCTCTCAAACACAAAAGACCATACGAAGTACGAGTCCCAAAATCCCGCCTACCACACAATCTCGCATAACTTCCCTCGACGCCATCCACCTTCTTTTCCGCTCGCTACGGCGATCATATCGTCCCGCCGGCTAATGCCTTCAATCCCCTCTCCATCATTATTTTTCGAGACTGTCTATCCCGGCGATCGCCGCCTGGGACCAGAGAATCCTACACCACCTTTTTTCTCTGTTTCTTTTATTTTACATCTTTTGTACTTGCAATTGAACTAGTAATTAAGAATTAAAGTCCCATTTCTCGAGAGAGAAAAAGGGTTTGAGAGTCCGGCTGCGCGGCAACTGAAGATGAGATGTGCATTTTCGCTGAATGATATGCAATCTCCGGGTATCAGGTCGGAAAGAGGAAGGGAAACGGATAGCCCAAGTGGTGCCAATGTTCCGGTTTTGTCTTTTTGGGGGTCAGCGCTTGGTCTTTCTACTCAACCACACCATTTGTCGGTCGAAAGTTTCCGTGACGGGTTGTCTTTCGTGATGGCTGTGGGATGGGAGAATTCTTGAGAGATGAGCAGAGCATGCGAAGGTGGTCGTGAGAGCGGTCGTAAGAGCGCATGCAGTTCAATCAGGTGGGAGTCCCTTGCGAGGTAGGTAAGAGTCTCTCGAAAGTTGGATGGGTAGAGGCCGGTAGTCGGGGGATGTAATGCGAGGAATAATACGGCTCTTTTGCTCCTGGAGGATCAATATAACCTAATTAGGATGTTTTTCTATGCGTTAATGTTTAACTCTTGATGTAAGCTAATAAGGTGAGAGGTCGGCGGTAGTAGCTTGTTGGGATGCGAGAAACGAAACATCACTTGACATAGAAAGATAGATGACGGATATATGCTTTGCTACGCACGCCATTGTAAAGAAGTATGCGGCTCTGGAGCAGATGTGGTCATGTCGTTATTCTCGAACTTTTTCTTCTTAAAGGCAAAGGGGATCTAGCCCAAATAGAAAATCCGAAAAGTGGACCATAGCAAGACTTAAATCGTATCGCTAACAAGTCAAAATAGAAATAGCTTGCAAACATATCATGAAGCTGGCTCCCCGAGCTCGCACTGGAATCCAAATCATCTCAATCATCCCTTTCCCACCCATCATCCTCGAGTCTCTTTGGGCGATTCTGTTCTCTCTGCCGCCCCTCGAGAGGGCCCAGGCACGGAGCTTCTCTCTCCCTCCAACAAAAAAAGCCCCGAGGTCCCATAACAGGCTCATTGCTTCTTGCCCTTGGCAGCCTGGGCCTTGAAGGCAGAAGAAATCTGACCCACGGCGTAGTAGATGGCGTACAGGGGGATAAAGACCCAGAGCATGTTGAAAAACACGAGGTATACCCACTTGTACATGAAGTTGCTCGTGTCGAGGTTGATGTTGCCCGTCAGCCACTCGGGGCAGAACGTCATGAATCCTGTAGCGCGTAGCGTTAGCCATGGTCCATCTTGAACTACTGCAGTGAAGGGCAGAAGAAAAAAACCACGCACCTCCATAAAGCTCACAAGTAGCAAGCACAATCATCCAAACATTCGCCATCGGATTCCTCCTAACAAGCCCCCAACAAACCGCAATCGCCAACGCCGTATCCAAAAACACCGTCAACAGCTCCAAGCTTACAACCCCCAAATCTACGCCAGCCCACCTTTTATCCGCCCTAGCATACACCATCCACAGCTTCGCGAACGCGTCATCGCCGACTTGCGGACCGAAGACGCGGTCGGAACCAGTGCCGAGGAAATTATAAGGCGTCGGGTAGTACGTTGCCGCCGCGTCGAGCTCGGAGACAGCGACGGACGAGAAGAAGCAGTGGTAGAGGAAGCTGCCCTCGAGGATGATGTGGCAGAGGGCGTCGGCGGCGTGCCAGATGAAGAGGAAGCGCGTGGCGGTGGTGGTGGAGGCGGGGAGGAGGGCGCGGGAGAGGAGGATGCCGGTTAGGGCGATGGCGACGGTGCCGGCGAGGGAGTAGAGGGTTGTGGTGTCGAAGAGGTCTGGGGGGAGTTGGGAGGCCATTTTGGGACGAATGTCGGTGAGATTGTTCGAATCGTATGAGTGAGACTAGAGTTGTAGAACGGTTTCCCGGTGGACAGGAGAGAATAGAATTTCAATGTTGCACTCAATTCTTACTCGAGACAATTGATTGAGATTGCTACACGCGCGCTCTCACTCGGTCTCTCTTTTGTCTCGCAAGATGCTACCAGGAGCAGACTGGATGTTGAGGAGGTCGGGGACAATTTCAATCTGATAGAACCCGGAAAAGCGGGCGGTTTGATTGGGGAATTGGGGAATGCGGGGATGGCCCATGCTCCCTGAAGCTTTGTCGCGCCAAGGCCACCAGGAACGGGGGCTAAGGATCATCACCACACTCTCTCCGGAGGAAGAGACTGGACATCACTTTCAACCTTAATTTTGGTACAATTATCAAGCCGGATTAATTTCTCCACACTGATCTATACGTTGCTTATATTCAACTCAGTTCGCCCGCCGGGCCGAGGTTGCTGCTAGGCTCCAAGTGCGGTACATTGAACATCCTCATCTTGGCCTCAATAAGACGCTAGGCTTCTAGAGCTTCTCAAGTCTCCCCAAGTCATCCGCATCCGACTTAGATCAAGTTACCGCCTCCCTGATTGCTGCCCTGATTGTTGTTGGTTCCCCTAGAGGGGCTATTCGCTTCAGCACGGGCATCGTGCTTGCTCTCGTTGAACTTGTCGCCCAGTGCATCCTTGGCAGCGGAAGCACTGTTGAGACAGAGGTCATGTTAGCGAATGATACCCCTACCCTCTCAAGGCAAGGTGCGCGGAAAGTAAGAGCTTACCGGGTGCCAATGGGATTGTTGCTGTCCCTGGCGACCTCTTTGTTGGTCTCCTTAGAGACACCAGAGGTGGCAGACTGGACGCTCTCGGTGACGTAGTTGGTGGCCTTCTTGACGGGTTCCATTTTTGGATAGGTGGAATTCTTGGGATGGATTTGTTGGATTTTTCTGTCTGTAGAAAATAGCAGATTGATCGGTATTCAAAGGCTGTCGGTGCGTGCTGGGAAAGTGAAGATTGAGCTCCTTTCGACGGGGGAGAGGTCTCGTTTATATACACCGATCGGCTTCGATACAGAAGCCGGCGCAACTACCACGGGGTGTCTGCTACGTCATTATTTCCCAGCGCTCGGTCTACGCGATCTGGTATTCAGTCATATCTCAGATCTTCCTCTCACAAGAAGATCGATGTGTCTCTTGTTTGTCAATGGAGATCGTCGTTCAAAAGTCCATTACGATGCGTGACGTGTGCCAAGATGGCAACATGGTGAAATGGGAAGGCTGCGTACTGGTATGCAGACATTGCCACGTCAATTCGATGCTGTACATGTAGTACATGTGAGATCACAGCTCCGTTTCCATCCAACGTGGAGCGAGCTGCTGCCGATTCAAAGTTTGTGCCTTGTGGAGAAACAGGGCCCCCCTGATGTACCCATTGCCTAAGTGGCTTGTGTGAGTTCGTTGTCCCTTTTCTGAATCCTGTTCTAACGGGGAGCCACTGGCGTAGAAATCCATCCTCAATAGGGTTGGTGTCGGAGAATTTCTTGTTCCTTTCAGTGCCGGCCGCGAAGCTCTCGGCCAGTGGTGGCTTAATGTAGCCAATCTATGGACGTTGCGGAGGGTAGAAACTTGCCATTATGCGATTGTGCATAGACATGGACGACACGAAGCATTGCAGTCTCTCCAGTCTCACCAGCTGATGAGATCCCCATGGTACCCTACAATCTAAGGCCATCATGGTAACTCCTGGTCACGAGCTTCTGTGATGTTTCGCCGTCCCCGACTAGTCCCATATGATGTCACGATTTGCCATGCCTCGATAATGCTACGTCAATGTAAGCTTGTCGGTGCGCCTCCTTTCAGCCCGTTCCTCCCAGTGGCTCCACGTAGTCGGAGCTTATTCTCGAGCCTCATTGAAGTACTGGATCCCATGCCGCCATTTAAGGGTAACTCCATGGGGCTTTGCTCCTTGGTTTGTCTAGGATTTCCTCGGCCCGCATGAGACATGCGTACGTCAGTGAACGAGAGACATTCTAGCCGCGGAGGCAATAGTTGATGATAACCTACCCCACGGTTTGAATGTTCTTCACATAACCTCTCAGATTAATGTTTAGCCCCTTGCTAAATTTAGCCAGCGTTATACATCACCGTAGCTTTTCACAGTTAACTCCTTAGATGCTCTTCGTCTACTCGAAAAACAAGAGTTTCTCTGATCGAGGGGAGCCGGCCAAGCCGGATTTACTTTGGCTGCTAATGCCTCAAGCGCCCGACCATGGTTGGCGGCTGAGACTCACTTTCGGTGAATCTGAACAAGGAATCAAGCAAGTCAGCCCGTATAGCTCAGTGGTAGAGCGCATCACTAGTAGAGCTAGTGAGATGATGAGGTCCCTGGTTCGATCCCAGGTGTGGGCAGCTAGCGTCTTTCATTTTTTTGCCCGGTTTCTTCAGGCTCCTTTTTTTTTTTTTTCCTGGAAAATTTTCGAGACTCGGCCCCATATCTGGCCCCTCCGGAGACTCTCCAAACCAACAGAACTCAGTCATTCACGGCCTTGTGGCCTAATGGTAAGGCGTTAGATTTCGGCTCTAAAGATTGTGGGTTCGAATCCTACCGGGGTCGTTTGGCAAGTTCATTTATTTTTTTTGGGCTTTTTGATTTTTCCTTTCCTGACGAAAGCCAAAGAAATAGACAGACCAGACCGAGGTCATATTCCAAGGGGCATAGCATGTACCTCTTTGGAGGTATCTCTGTTTAAACTGTGACGAAACTGGCCCTTGGAACCAAGTATCTTGTTTGTGTGTAAGTGCTGAGGATTTATTGTTCTATTCTGCGTCATGGCTTTTTGTGCGAGAGAGGAAATGACCGAATTATGTTATTCCCCTTCTTCCGTATACACCAGATGAAAGCTTCAGATCGAGATCGCCATTCTCGTGTCGCAATGGGGAAATTTTCTAGTTGGCTAGCTGAACTTAATGTCAGTTCAAGGACTTGGAATGCGCGAACGTATGCCAAGCTACGCATATCGTTGGAACAACCACTTGGCATGAACCCCTCGTATTTGAGTCGGATATCAATATTATACCGAAAGCGACGGCGGATCCCACCCACCCCAAAGTCTCAATGATTAGTCTGACTGATAAAAAGAAAGAGTTTTGCGGTTTGGGAGGCAAAAAGGCAAAAGAACATACAACACCGGGGATTCGCTGGTCGTCACCGACCCAACTACTAATCCGGCGCTTCGCAGCTTGTGTACAGGGGAGCGGACGGGACCCTCAATTGTCTGCGAGCTATGGTCGTATGTACTGGGAACATTTGGTAGCTTAATATATAAAGGAGAGCCTGAAAGAAGACGGGCTTAACTAGGGAGGGCTCCGTATCTGGGGCACCTTCATGAGTTGGATATGGAGACTCTACTCGCCTCGTCCCTCTTCCCCTCTGATGACAATCTAAGTGGGTGAAAGAAAGAAAAGAAAAGAATGACAAGCGAGCTACATTATTCTTGAGTCCTCAGAGTTGAGTTAGAGCCGCCAATTCCTCTTAATGGCATGTCTTGACCGCCCTAGGGATTCGCTCAGGGCGCCGATGTTGCCCGGAGTGAAGGTGGTCCTTGGTTCCGACTGAAGTAGGCAACTATGCACGAGATCTCAATGTGTTATCCGTGTTGCTCCTGTCTTTATACCTCGGGCACTCTGCTACCCTCTTTCCAGGCAAGAAAGACACGGTGCTTCTCAACCAGATCGACGGCCTCGTCCCATCTAGTGAAGACGCGTAATGTCTTCAAATTTTCTTAGAACTTGTAAGATCGTCTAAAAACGACCATGGCGGACTTCAGCGACTAGGAGCCAGTTCAAATTCGTATTTTTTTTATTTTTATTTTATTTTATTTTATTTTATTTTATTTTTTTATTTTTTTCCCTTTCGGATTCTCATCTTTTGATCTCAGGACCAAAACATAAGAAAGCAATGTCGAGATCACAGAACGTTCTCAGCCTCAAGTCACAATATCCACCACGTGACAGTGGCGACATCAGCCACAATTTCCCCTTGTGGCGCCAATTCCGGTCTTCCTAGCGAATGAAAAATTTGGTGTTAGAATTGGACCGGATCCATTGAAAAAGAAAAAAAGTCGGCCGACACGTTCTTCCATCCAAAATCCACCCACCCCATCCACCCGAGCAGAGAGAGAGTAGCTGCTGTGTACTATTATCCTCAACCTCCATCTCCTCCCCCTTTTCTCATTTTCCTTCCTGCCGTCTATTTTGTAATTGTGAAGCTTCTTTTTTTCTTCTTCTCTTCTGTCTTTTGTTATAAATCCCCGCCACAATGTCCGCTTCCTTCAGATCCATCGCCCTCTTGAGGACGGCGCGCTCGTCGCTCCGAGCCGGCCACGCCACCAACCCTCTCCAGTTCGCTGTCAAGAGGCAGAATGTTGTGGGCATGATGAACTTCGCCCGAGGCTATGCTGAGTTCAAGCGTGACAAGCCTCACGTCAACATTGGTACCATTGGTCACGTCGATCACGGAAAGGTAAAGTAGAAGGAAAAAAAAAAAAAAAAGGAGGAGCTATAAAATCGTTCCACACCTACCTCCCCGACCCAATCCCCCTTTGACACTCCGAAGGAGCTTCGCCTCTGACATATCTTCCGACTAGACGACTCTCTCTGCCGCCATCACCAAGAGGCAAGCCGACAAGGGCTTCGCCAACTTCCTCGACTATGGCTCCATTGACAGGGCTCCCGAGGAGAGGAAGCGTGGTATCACCATCTCCACCTCCCACATCGAGTACGCCACCGAAAACAGGCACTACTCCCACGTCGACTGCCCCGGTCACGCCGATTACATCAAGAACATGATCACCGGTGCCGCCAACATGGACGGCGCTATCATCGTCGTCGCCGCCTCCGACGGCCAGATGCCCCAGACCCGCGAGCATCTCCTCCTCGCGCGCCAGGTTGGCGTCCAGAAGATTGTCGTCTTCGTCAACAAGGTCGACACCATCGACGACCCCGAGATGTTGGAGCTCGTCGAGATGGAGATGCGCGAGCTTCTCAACCAGTACGACTTCGAGGGTGACGAGACCCCCGTTATCATGGGTTCTGCCCTCTGCGCCCTCGAGAACAAGAACCCCGAGATTGGCACCCAGAAGATCGATGAGCTCCTCCAGGCCGTTGATGAGTGGATCCCTACCCCCGAGCGTGACCTCGACAAGCCCTTCCTCATGTCCGTTGAGGACGTCTTCTCCATCTCCGGTCGTGGTACCGTCGTTTCTGGCCGTGTTGAGCGCGGTCTCCTCAAGCGCGATGCCGAGGTCGAGCTCGTCGGCAAGGGTACTGAGGTCATCAAGACCAAGGTCACCGATATCGAGACCTTCAAGAAGTCGTGCGAGGAGTCCCGCGCTGGTGACAACTCCGGTCTCCTCCTCCGTGGTGTCCGCCGCGAGGACATCAAGCGTGGTATGATCGTCACCATCCCCGGCGAGGTCAAGGCCCACAAGAAGTTCCTCTGCTCGCTCTACGTCCTCAGCAAGGACGAGGGTGGTCGTCACACCGGCTTCGGCGAGAACTACAGGCCCCAGATCTACCTCCGTACCGCTGACGAGTCCGTCACCCTCACCTTCCCCGAGGGCACCGAGGACGCCAGCCACAAGATGGTCATGCCCGGTGATAACATCGAGATGGTTGCCGAGCTTCACCTTCCCAACGCCCTTGAGGTCGGTCAGCGCTTCAACATCCGTGAGGGTGGTCGCACTGTCGCCACTGGTCTCGTCACCCGTGTCATTGAGTAAAAGGTCGGAATCCGGCCGTGTTTTTCTCTCGCTAACCCCAATCGAACGGAACCTCCGTTTCCGCACCAACTGTATATCAAAATTCAACGCCACTGGGCAAGGAAGAATAAAAAGGGCAATAGATGGAGAACGGATGTGTGGAGAAGCTTAAAAAAAAAGTGTGAGACGGTTAGAATGATGGAAAAGAGAAGGATTTCTAATCTTGTAATATATACCAGGAAGGAAAGAAGAACCCCGCCGAGTTCAAGGCGCGAGAGAAGAAGGATAACCGCGTTTCCCAGAGGGAAGAAGACTCAGAGGAAAGGGGAGTAAATACCTGGATGGAGTGATGGGGTTGGTGGTTCTTTTTTGTCATGTACGACTGACTGTCTTATTACAATGCCTTCACATCTCTTCTCTCATTCTCTCCTGCGTTTTCCTTCCCGCTTGGTTTGTAAAGTGCGTATGTGGCATCTGTAGTCCGACTTGCATTACTTCATCGAATGCATTAACCTCACGATTTGGATCCTTGGAATGTAGCATAGGGATTGAAGCCGTGTGTTCGCATCTCCCGTTACCGTTCGAAACTAGCTGGATGCCGTTTCGATAAGGGGTCTTGAGTTGTCGAGCGATCCAACCGCTGGTTTGTAGGTTACCTGATTGTCGCCAAACGTTCGGTTCGTGGACAAGATTCTTAACTCTACGCTCCTTGCCAATGATGGCAATGATGACGTTCGATACGGGGAAGCCCAGGAACAAGGTGACATTGAACCTTGCCAACGTCCAGCATCAGAAATAAACCCCGTCCGGAGAGATAGAAGCACCCAGCGTCAAAAAAGAGTCAGATCAATAGGTTCTTTAAAATGATAAAAACTCCCATATGATTTTTGTTTCCGCCCATCTCCTCTTTCCCATGGAAAAAAAAATGCGAGATGCAACGCCTCTCTACTTTTCATTTCTTGGTCCCCCTCCCCCCAAATTGTATCACGCAGCCCTTGACCGAACGAATAAAGAGAAAAAAAAGACTAAAAAGGAACGAGTGAAAAAAGGGCAAGAGTTCGGAAGAAGAACCGTAACGGTAAAAAAAAGGAAAGGTTCGAATTCTTTGGTTCATGAAAAAATGTCGAAGCTCGTACAGTTCCAGTTCCATCCCTTTTTCAACCCTATTCCATTCGATCCCAAAAAAAAAAGAAACTCCTAGTCCTTCCCCATTTGAAAGCCCGTTCCCTGCTCCCTCGAAATAGCATCCTTCGTTTGAGTGTTGTTTCGGTTTCCGGCTCCATGACTCCAGGTGAAAAGAATTTCGTTCGAGCGGTCAATTAAATACCATTGCTGATCGCATACGGTCGCCGGTTGGGGGTTTGTTTAAAAGACGCGGAAAAGGGTAGGGAAGGGGAAGATCAACGTCGGATTCGGGGGAGACGAGGGACGAGCATTTCAAAAAAGTTTGGAGCATTTATCGGTACTAAAATAACACATTGTCAGAACCACCATTTCGAATACCTCTTCTCCCCTCCCCTGGAACAACATCTCGCGACACGATCCGCTCGGGGGTGTAATGAACTGTTTTCGTAAAGCCGTACCTTGTTGAAGCCAATATCCTTGGCCTTCTCACGGAAGCACTGACGGCAGAGGTCGAGGCCATACTTGCGGATAAGACCAGCCTTGTGCTTGCAGACACGGCTAGAAGGGTTAAGAAAAAAAAATCAGCATAAATTCCCCTTTAAAAAAGGAACCTCTTCCACCATGCCCTTCACTCCGTGTTCGCCTATATCCCCTTTTCCACGTTCGAAAACACCCCACCCAGCCCTGACGTCGAAATTCGAAGGGGTTGCATTCTTACCAGCTGCGGGAGCCCTTGCCGTAGTTACGGGGGTGCGAGTACCAAAGATTCTCGTGAGACATTTTCGCGGTGATTAAATGCGAGTTTTGTTGGTTTGAGGAGTTGGGAGAGAAAAATTGGGCGGGATTCGAGACGAGGGTGGTGAAAGGGTTGCAAAGAAGATTTCGGAGATTGAGAGTTTTCCCACAAATTTTGTGTGGGCTGGAGTCCAAGGGTTGCGAAACTCTGCAGATTCGCACATTTGATTGGGTGGGGGCGTGCGAGGGGTTGTGGCTGGAATGTGGCGCGGGTGGTACAAGGTACTTTGCCCTCGACCTCACCTTTGCACTTTCCCCCAACTCCATCTCGAAGCTCGCGGTGGTCGATGTCCATTTCAACTCGACGGGAGGAGGGAAATATCATGGTAGAATTGAATTGGGAATCTCCAATTATCAGCCAAATTGAAGTCAATGTTGAAGCCATCCTTCGAAAACTCTCCGTGCCCCAACCATTAGCATGCAATCCCATCATCGTCGACATCACTTACAACATCACCACCAACAGGCAACAAGACAATGCAATTCATAAATGATATGGTACTAATCCTCATTACTATGCACATACTACTACCCTACGAGCGTCGATGTATCCCTCGCCCACGTCTATCATAATTAAACATATCCATGTTCCAGGAGCTCCAGAGCTTTTGTTTGCAAACACACACACACACCAAAACGCCCAACTCCCTTCCCCTCTGCCTCCTCCTCCACCTCATCCGCCCCCTTCTACCAAATCGCAGCCTTATCACAATCAAACCTCTTCAAATCCTTCCCAGCATCTTCCAAATCCTTCTTCGCCTTCATCCGCATATAAAAGATCGGACAATCCTTACTGCTACAAATCACCTCGCAGTGCATACTCCCCTGACACCTCTGACACTGTGTCCACAGCCTCCCGAACCTCACCTCCAGATCCGACACCTTATCCATCGTCTTCATGTACAGCTCTCCCACGCGGGGGGCGCACTGCGCGCATACCGCCCCGCCCTTTTCGTCCTTGCCCGTCAGAGGCTTCTTGCAGCCCATGCACGTCTCGACCTTTTTCGCGAACTTCATGAGCCCGCCGATCGTCGGCGCAGCTACGGAGATGATGCGCGTGTGGTCGCCCGTTAGCAAGCTGCGCGCTTTGTTTTCGCCCAGGATCGGCTCGAAGATGCGGCCTAGGGGCTTGGATAGCTGGTTGTCGAGGTAGTATTTGGTGTCGATGGGCACATTGTGCTCGAGCACGTAGATGGGGTCTTCGGACTTTTCAAAGTTCTTGGCACCCGTGGCGCCCTTGATCATGACGTAGGCCACTCGGTCGCCTAGGCCGGGGGCGGAGCCGGGGTCTCGCTCCTTCATCCGCTTCGCGAGCTCGCTATGGGCTTGCTTTGCTGCGTAGTCGTCTTTTGTGAGAGCTTTAGTGATGACCAGTTTGGACATGTCGACTTTGTTTTGCAAGAGGTCGGCAATAGTGTCCTTGACGTATCTGTGGAAAATGTTAACTCACCTGCAGCACATTGAGGAGGGAAAAAAAAAAAAAAAAAAAGGGGGGGGGGGGGGGGGGGGGGGGGGGGAGACTTACTCTTGAGCACCGTCAACATCACGGTCAATCAAAATCATCTTCAACACCGTCTCAATCACCGTCTGCACAAGCGTACAGTTATCTCGACGAACCGTCTCAATACCCTTGGTATCCATCTTATCGTACTTTTCCGGCTTCGTCCAGTACAACCCGGCATACCGCTTCTTGTTGATGAGCAGGTACGGGTAGTACACCTTTTCGAACTCGAGCTTGATGGGCTTGATGAATTTCCCCGTCACCGTCTTGGCCGCCTCCTCGCCCAGCTTCATCGTCTCCGCCAGATCCTGCGTGCCGAACTTCACCATGACCGAATCGGTATCGCCGTAGATAACCTGCGCGTCGTGCGCGTACCCGTTGGCGATGCAGAACGTCGATTCGACCTCGTTCTTAGTCCGCTCAATCATCTGGCGGCCGAAGCTTGTCGTGCTCCGTGCGATCGCGAGACATGGAAGCTTTCCCGTTGTGGCACCCGTCAAGCCGTAGACGGAGTTGGCGCTGATTTTCAAGGCGAGCTGACGACCGTTCAGCACGGCCTTCTTGAATGGATCCGACTCGACCGCCAACTCCCTCTTCGCTTGTTTTCGCGCCGCGAGCAGTTCCTCGAGAATCTGGGCGAGAACTCCCTTCCTCACCTTGGCTGTGACAAACATGTCACCATTGGGCGTAACGATGTAGTCTTCATCCTTCTTCAGATTGAACTGCTTAACCTTGTCCGGGGTTAAGAGCGAAGTATAACACAGGTTGTGTGCCTGCATGATACTAGGATATAGAGAGGCAAAATCGAGTGTTGCGATGGGCACTTTGTAATAGCCTCTTTTGGGTTCGATAACGGTGGCACCCTCATATTGCTCGTCGCTTCCCTGAGAAGGCATGTTGGGCACGACTAGCTTTTGCTCCAAGGCCTTGCGGAACAGCTGGCTGATGAACTTGACCTGCTGTCCACGCGACAGCAAGAAATTGAAGGGAACACCCGTGACTCTAGCCATCTCGGTGTAGTTTTCGAGACAGGACAGTTTCTGCATCAAACGCAAGGGGAGATATGCGTCCTTGAGACAGTACAGCGCCAGACGGCGTCTCGATTCCGGCGTTCCGTTGAACAGCTCCGTGATCATGGAGTGGTGAACGTCCTCCTTTTGCTCGCCCAGGAAATGCGCACTGACGGAATTGAGCGTGTAACTTCGCAGGTGGTGATCTCTCTGGATAAGTTGAAGGAGATCGAGCTGCAGCCGACCATTGGTGTTGACCGCCTTTGAGTCTCGGTTGCCCATCTGCTTGCTCGAGAATTTGGTGTCCTTGATCTTGGTGATGACCGTGGGGAGTCTGGTCCAGTACTGGAATCCGTTCACCTTGAGATGGCTGGCTCGACCGAGTAGATAAGGAAAATCGAAGTTCGCAATGTTGTAGCCAGTGATGATATCCGGGTCCACGGTGACGAGGAACTTTTGCCATTGCTTCAACATCTCCGCCTCACTCTTGAATTCGAGGATATGCGTCGCGACGATGGAACTCGTGTCGCCAAGGCAAAAGACGTTCCGAACAAACGGCTTGCTCTCTCCGTATCTGTTGACGATGGCGGCGATTTGGATCACGGGGTCATGCTCTGGCTCCGGGAAGATGCCCTTGCGACCAGCACACTCGATATCGAACGACATGATGCGAAGGGGGGCAATTTTAGACCATTGACCTTCAGGCTTGTGCGCGATAAGGTTCTTGTAAGATATCTCGGCTTCGATTTGGCAATTAGACTGCTTCGATCCGTGGGGAAGAATAGAGTACGAGCCAGCGGGAGCTTCGACCCAAGACATGCCTTGCACCTAGCCGTAGCGAAGAGAAAACGTTAGAAAAAGGGTCATGAAGGGAGTGGAGTTATAGAATGAATGCACTACTCACATGGCAGTCAATCATAAACCTCAAGACATATTGGATATTGTCGTAGGTGGTGACCTTGCCATTCTTATCAACCGGAAACATCTTCTTCCAGTTCGCCTGGCCCGACTCGATAGCCACCCGAACTTTGCTGATAAACCTAGGATCCGACACCGTAACCTTGAGATACGGACTCTCGATGTTGCCTTGGTATTCGTAGATGTCCATCCTCATCACAATCGTAACGGAGTGAATAGCAGGCTGATCGCTATCAACCTGAGAGTCCAAATACGTCGCGAACGCAGCACAGTCGCTCGGTTGAAACGACACGGGCGCCGGAACGTAAAGATAATGCTTAAAATCCGTCACATGCAACAACACCGAATTCCCCTTCTCGGTAACCCCGAACAGCTTAACAGCCGTCCTCCCGCCGTGGATGAATCCTTCCTCGGCCTCGATGGCCTGGAAGCAGAGGTTATCCCGCGACGGCACGAAGTCGCCCACCGGTGGCCTGTCCCAGACCTGGTCCTTCTCAGCATTGTTATTCTTGAGCTCGGACACGTCTTGGGAGAGCTTCTCTAGCACGTCGGATTCGAAGACGCTTTTGACTTGGCTCGCGCTCAGCTTTGTCCGGGGATCGTTTTGGGAGGAGCCGGGGTGGCGTGGTTGTGACGAGGGGGCAAATTCGACTCTTCGCTTCTTTGCTGATGCCGTGGAAGAGGGCAGGTTCTGTTTCGAGTTGGTGGTGTCGGCCAACACCCGCTTCTGTGGGAGTGTGCTTGCCATCGTGATGGCACCGGGGAATCAGCACCGGGATGGTGCGTCAGGATATCCAAGGCAATGGAAGAGATAAAAATTCAAAGGATAAAATCAACTTTAATTGATTTTACCACCCAATTTCAGCCTGGCAATCCTGGTTATGAGAATGGGGCTTGTCAATGAAGACTGGCCAAAAAAAGTTGTGAGGACAGACACCCTTAACTCTTAACGCGGTTCCTGATTCTTAGACGCCCTTGACGTGACGTGAACGCGACCCCACTCTGATGCAGTAATTGATGTCACGTGATCTGGCGTAACTCAAGGACAGTTTGCCTGTGTAAACTACATGGGTGTTTTATGCTGCTCTTGTTATGCTGAAAATCACACAAAATGACGATGCATAAAATCCTACTTGGAACTCATCAACTCTCTCGAGACCAGACAAGTTAGACCTGAAGCAAGAGCAGAATTCAACCAAACCCCAGGGTTTAGGAGAGCAAGCGATTATTATCTCTTGTCAGCATTGCAGAATATCTCATTAATCAATCCTATCTTTACAAAGAACACTAGGAGGATACCTTGTGCATGCATCCATCCATCCCTCACAAAAGACACCGAGTGGAAAGTAGATGGGACTATGCGGCAAGCGGCAAGCAAATCCAGAGATATAGCCTCCGATGCCTCTGTGACCACATCGTCCAGACCGAACCCAAGATCCTGTTGACATGCAAACCAAACTCGTGGAAATAATAAAAACTTCGTTTGCCATCCATTCGTGATGTATGCGACCTCCAAGGCCGTAAGTGGCTCTCAGCCATCCGATCCGAAATAAGAAAAATACAAGAGATAAAATCAAGAAAGGGTATTGGCATGAGGCTGATGATAATCCCTCCATCAACACTTCCAAACTGTTCTGGGAAAAAAAAAAATCTGGATTCATCCGGTACATCATCGGGCACTCCCTCGTTATTTGCCTCATTCCTTATCCTTTCCCCCAAACGCCATCGCTGTGCAGAGTAAAAATAGAAACAGATTGAAGAAGAGAAAAATCAAACAAAAGAGACTCCACCGCCCGTATCTAGACATCCATTACTTCGAGTAGCACCCGAAGGCGGGAAAGGAGGGAACTGGGATGAAAACTGGATGCAGCAAGCTCCTGCTCTATGCGAAAGGTACATTCAATTAATAGCCCATCATACTTAGCGCCGATCGCCCAAAGACGTCAACGATGGCTCGCTTCGCGGGTGTGGTGCCGTCCTCCTCCCTTGTGACCTGGATATCGCCAAGCTCGCACCAGTTGCTCACGGGCTGGAAATGGTTAGTACCTGAAAATAGGGGGACGGACCGCGGGAACGGAAACGGATATGGCTTGGGGGAAGCAAAGGAAAGAGATAGTGAAAGATGAACTCACCAAGCAACTGAGGTACTTGCACCAACTGCACGAGGATCGGTAGACGTAGAAGTTGTTGAGCAAGACGATGAAGCCAATAGTGACACTGAGCAAACAGGCTGCGCGGACCATCCACCACACCCACCACAGAGGCTTTCGGCCTTTGAAGAAGGCGGCTGGGCTCTTCAGGAACGAAGGTCCCTGGACGGCGCCGTCGCGAACTGCGCTGTACGAGGTATCTTGGCCAAGTCGTCGTCGCAAAGCGTTCGGGGAATGGAGCACACAGATACCCAAGCCCAGGCCCATGACGAAACCGCCGATATGGGCAAAGTTGTCGAGACCAGGCAGTAATCCGAGCACAAATGAAATGATAATATCGAGGAGGATAAACAACAGGTCCTTGACGGGATTCCGGCGTTCCTGCCAAGAGTATAGCAAGTCAAGGAGAACCAGAGCAATCACACCAAAAAGCGCACCAGATGCTCCGGTGGAGGGGAGACCCTCGGCAGCGTAATTCCCACCCATCACCGCACCAAAGATACCAGAGCTCATGTAGACGAGTATAAAGCGCAACGAGCCAATGGCCTTCTCCATTTCCTTGCCAATGGTCATCTGGAGTAGCATGTTGAACCCGATATGAATCAGACCCGCGTGCATGAAAATGGGCGTGATGAAGCGGAACCATTGGTTTGGCTGGGGGGACTGGTTTTTGTCGCCATTGTAGTTGGGCTCTGGGACGCCGCCAAAGCCGCAAAGGTCGGAAAGTGAGCATGTGCCCGTGGTTGCTGTCGAGTTAGGGCAAGGCCATTGGATCGGGATGTCGGAGCCTTGAATGGCATCAATGTTGTGCATACAAGGCGAATATCGGGCGCCCATGTTGATAAGAACCCAGGGCGAGGGGCCAATCATGGGGTTGAAAGATGGCTTGATCATGATGGGAGTTCCAGTGAGGATACCTAGAGAACAAACAAGTTAGCACAATCATGCTCATCCCGCAAGACTTGAGCATAACCTCTATCTCAGCGAGAAAAGACGGGGGGAATAAAGAAGAGCTCCCGGCATACCATTTCGCGCAATCTCGCCAATAAAGACGCCAACCTGAGCCAAGGTGAAAATGTAGACAACCCATGGGATCCTCTTGCGATCGGCGCCAAACATGCCTAGCTGTCCGAGGCGAATATTTCCCTTTCTCTTCTTCTGTGTCGGGGTTGGGCGGCCAGAATCGGGGACATCGTAGACGTGATCGTTTCCGAATTCAATGTCTTTGTGAGGCCTGTTTTGTAGGGGAATGTTCTCGCTGACCTGATGACCCGTCTCAGGAGAGCCCCGACCGGGGCCGTAGTAGGCTGTATCTTGCTGCTGAGGAAGGTTCATGTTGCTGTTATTGTAACTGCCGAAATTGCTGCTGGAGTTGTTGTTCATTGGATATGCATGGTCGTCGAAGACGGTATCGAAGGGAGAGGTGTGGGTAGGGCGGTCGGCGTTGGGCGGTCGCTGGAGAGGAGACGGCGAGGGGGAGTAAGGGCTGTGAGTGTAGGAAAGCGGCGACGGCGATGGAATGTAGCCGCCGGTGGACGACGCAGCAGCAGCAGGCCGAATGTTGTTGTCGCCGTAAGTATTGTTGCGATCGTTATGGTCGCCAGCACCGTAACCGGAATAATAATCGTTCGCTGCCATTGTGGAAGTGGATGGAGGAGAGGCGGTCGAGGGAAATTGTGGTAATGTAATATTTTCGGGAGACGGAACTACCCAGAATGGGAAGAAGGCGTTTTGTCTGGTCGCAGCGGCGATCCTTGTTACGGCTCAGGCTGGCGCTCCCACTGCAAAGGATGAATGAATGTAAGGGGGAAAGGGGTGGTTCAGGCAAGGGTAGGCTCGGGTTCTGGATCTGGATCTGGATTAGGTGGTGCTGGATAAAGTGTTCAATGTTGCCTTGGGACTAGACCCGGAGGCTTTGGCTTTGGTTCGGTTCAAATGCACGCAGCAAGACGCAGCAAGAGCAGCAACGCAGCAGTGCACCAGCGACTGGCAGTACCAGAAGCACTCGTTGATCTCAGGTAGTACCCGTGGAGGGGTTTGGGGAAAGAAAAGAGAGGGAAAAGGAAGAGAAAGGGAAGAGAAAAGAACAGAGGCGGGTGATGACGAGGCCACGACAAGGACAGCTAGGCCAAGGTAACAGAACAGGCAAATTTTCGCTGGGTATTAAAAAAATGCTCTGATGAATCAGAACCCACACAAATCGCCGGCTGCGGTTGGCTGAATTTTGCAGGCGAGGAAGAGACGTGAGTCGTGGAGAATGAACAGAGCCTGAATGAACAGGATCACACTTGGCTACTTTGTAACAGGAAACGTGGAGGAGGGAGCGGCGGTTGATTTGATTTGCTCAATGATCGCTGTCGCTGCCGGTGTGAATGGGCTTGGATCCCTTCTCGTCGGAGGCTTGCAGCTTTAGCGGCTGCGTCTGGATTGCGTACTTGCGAGGCGGAGCTTGGCGTATGTACTTTGTAGTTCTTTGTCTCCCAACCCCCTGTTTCGATCTTCTTTCTTCCCTCGCTCTCTATTTCTGTCTTTTCTTCGATTTTTTTGTTGAATTAGTTTTCCTCGTCTCGCCTAACTGCACGGCTTTGGGCGACAGTTTGAAGAAACAGACTCGTAGGTGACTGCTGCGGTGACGAAACGATCGAGGACTGAGGGCCAACGTATTGATGTTTTTCCCTCTTCTGGTTGCGGAATCCGGTTTGCCTGACGTACGAAGTACATGCAGAACAGTAACGTGCTTGGAGCAGATCAATCAAGTCTCAGGCAGCACAGGCTGCGGGACAGAACCTTGGATTTGACGAGGAGAGGAGAGAGATAACTAGGAAATCCGGGACACTTCTCCTGTGGACGCAAAGATTGATGGAAACACTCTTAAAGTTCCACGTCCGAGGAGGATGAAGAAGAAATGTTTATGTAACTCTGAGCCGGTGGGCTGAGAGGGTCATGTTTTCATCAAGCTGAACCTCGACAGGGCTGTGCAGAAACTGGTGGTTACGACGCTCACTTGGCAGGAAGGCACAGGGCTTTGGCTCAGAGTACCTGGCAAAGAAAGTATCTTCGTTCCGCTTCCAAGTTTGTCGTCCGTTGTTCCTGCCTGTGCCTGGTGCAAAGTGACTTAGCGTGGCCCCTAGTCCAGCTTGAAGCAGGCAAGTGCGACGGCTGACGCAAATGTGGAGAAAGGTGGCTGGTGACAGTCTCTCGTATGCCTCGGTACATTGCCTACAGTACGGAAGATCGAAACCGTCACCAAGGTTAGGAGAACGCCCCAAAATACACACTGTAATGCCAAGTATCTATCCTCAAGTTTCTATATTTACTTGTCCAATTAATTGTCGGTATCTGATTACTAACCCAGACATGGTGGACCCTCGGACGAATCAGATAGATTGCACATTGCAGCTGCGCCGAGTTTCAGATGCAGAAGTGACTAGATTAGCTTTTCCCTTGGCAGCAGGTCAAACAAGGAACAGAAAACTATCTGGTGGGAGGACGGTCGAAGTTTTGGACTGCAAAGCAATAAGTCTGAGGGTAATTCTAGACCTACCAAACATCTTCTATCGCCGTCAACTGCTCGTCGTCTGAACCAACAGAGGTGGATGGAGAGACATAGAGATGGATCTCTTTCTCCCCCCTCCCCAAAAACGCTTGTTCGAATACAACGCCTGGTTTCCACTGACCAAGTGATTTGCCGACCAGAGATCAACCATGCACTATGCTCACTCACGCCCGTTCCCAAAGCGGTTCTCCACGGAGCTTTGATCAACCGGTCTCGGCCAGGGCTAGCCTTTGCGATGCCATCCCTGTGAACAGTGTCCAAACAGCGCAGCAGCCTTTTTTGGCTTTGTTCGTCCTGTCTGCATGTAGCAGGCTCCCTTGTGATCATCAATCCGTCCCCGGTATGGTCTATGGAATCGAGGCCGGTTTTCCATCCTGCCCCCCTTCTCCGCCAAATGATCGCCGAAAGGAGAGTGACTAGGTGCCCTGTGCAACTTTCGGTGATAGCTCAAGTACTCCCGTACCACACATCCGGGGATGGCTGTCTCGTCCGAAGTGCTATGCTTTCCCATAAACTTCTGGACCTATTATGGATGCAGGGCACCGTCGTAGAATTTAGCCGCATTGCAAGAAGTGCTTCTCGGGCCCTTAGATCTCATGCCCAGAACACTTGCCCGTGTTTAGAATGATCTTGCACAAAGGCCTGGCAGTCGGATGCCGGCAACATACCAGGTTCTTGCAACAATCAAGCAATCTCCTCGATAGAAGTTCCGCGGACTGGAGCAACTCCTCACGCCTAAGAAACAGTAGATCCTTCCGCGTAACCCCATCCTTCCAGATGATGGTCGCAAGGACCTGGTCTCTAATGAGGGGCCTGAGTTGGCACTATGAAGCAAGTAAAGCGCAGCAAGCCTTCAGCGGGGGGGGGGGGAGAAAAGAAGAAAAGGAAAAGACAAGCCAAGGAATTGAGGAAACCCGGATCCGAGTCTGGGGAGAACAAAGAGGAAAACTAAGGGATCACGCATAGAAGATCTCGATACAACAACACACATGACCAAAAAGCACTAAAAACCGGGAAAATCCCCATTGCTTCTATTTCCTCCACCTTACCTAGAGATAGGCTATACGAAGTGTAGACCATTTGTTTTCGGATGAGAAGACGTCGAGTCAACACAGGCCACTGCGTTTCTTCATCTGTGCCAGGGAACATTCTTCAGCCCCCACCCACTCCAGATGTATCGCCGGGCACAAACGCACATCCGAGATCTCTCTTGTACCAGACGGACTTACAAGGGATACGAGAGACTGTGCACCCATTTGACAGTTCGATAGGCACGTTGATCAGTAGTAATACGGACGTCACCCGTTGACGTCAGACATTCTCTCGTATTTTCAACTGGACTTCGTGACATCTCTCATCCACAGATTCTGGTGGCCTTTGCCTCTTCTTTCTCTTTCTCTTTCTTTCTCTTATGATTTTTTTCCCACTGTTGTATGACTGCGTACTTCGTACGACTTACCATTGCCGCGTTTTTGAAAGTGAAACACCGATGGGTCGAAGCCACTTATCTCTCAAGGCTCAGTGTGACCGGGTGGTGTGCAGCACATGATGAGCTCAAGTCTTGTTGGGAGTGAAGTGGTTCTCGGAGCTCTCATTCGACGCCTTCCTAACTTCAGGTCAGGCGGTCCTAGTTCCGGTTTCCTCTTTAGACAATATCGTGTTTAAATAGGTTGGCCGTATTGGTATTTATAGACTGTTCGGTCTGTCCCCTCTCCCCTCACTTTCGATGCCATTCGGAGCGGGAAGTATGCTCAAAGAGCGAACCCTAGGCTCAACATTGAAGGGGGTGGAATGTTATCGCAAACTAGCTTAGGGTGATGTGATCTAGCTCCGTCAGGTCGCAGGACGCCATTTCGAATCCCTAGAACTAGGCGTCTCGAGAGCTATATTGCGATATTCAAAGTGGCCCGGCCGGTATACCAAATACAGTACCATCATCTAACTGTTGACAAAAAAATACAAGCGCAGCCCTCGATTCAGGGGCGCGCGATTTATTCCAGATCCGTTGATAGTTGTACACGAATTCATGAGAGCCGAGATGGTTATGCTATCCATCCCCAGGCGATCTCTTCCCAATCTACTGTAACAAATCTTTTCCTCACATCAACCGGCGTCCAGCACTCGCGAAGCCGAAAATCTCCTCTCCCCATCGTATCACAGTCTCTGAAATCCTCGCCTATACAACATCCTGTTCACTTCTCCGACTTACTCTCACCCTCACCCTCCTTCTTCTCCCCCTTCCCAAAAGCCTCCGACACATGCTCCATAATCAAATCCGAAATCCCCTTCCCCTCCTCCAACCCCTTCCTATGCGCCTCCAACCTCTTCTCCTTCCAATCCTCCCCCTCATCCGCCGCAAACAGCCCCTTCAACCCCTTCGGCCTCCTACTCTCCTCCAACCGTCTCCTCTCCTCCTCCGAAAGCGACGCCTCCATCCTCGCCCTCTCCTCCCTCAACCTCTTCTGCGTCTCCAGAGCCTTCTCGGAAAGACCCGTCGAAAATGCAGACTCCGCCCGAGTCTTGAATCGTCCGTAGATGCCCTGGCCCGTGTATTCTCGCAACAGCTGGTCCGTCGAGAGGGAGAAGCCGCCTGTGAGGATGAGGAAGCGCATGTCCATTCGGCGCGGGGGGAGGAGCATGCCGATGGGGCAGAGGACGGCCATGGCCATCCATGCGTAGTTTATGAGCGGGGGGCGGCGCGTGGGATCTGTTTGTGAGGTGGAGGACATCGTGTGTAGGTTTGAGGGTCTTGTCGAGGTAAGGTAGGGTGGACGGGGGATGATAATCCCAGAGTTTTAGCTTTTGTCGTGAGGTGATTTCGCTTGGGCGTCTCGAGCCGCTTTAGGGGATCGAAGCGATAGTCCAAATCGATTATTGGGACGCCGAACAGGAGGAGTTGTTGCTGAGGTTCAAAATCAATTGGAGATGGAGTTGACGTCGTCGCCCAAAAAATTAAATTTTTGGAGCTTCCATCTGTCACGCTACAAATTTGTTGCCAGCCGGCGAAAGCCGCACTAACCGAATTCCGTCCGGCGCAGCCTGGACATCACGACCGGACCACTTTACACCTCACACGTTGATG